CAAACACCTTGTTGGGACTGATGAGGTTCTGTCAAAGTGTGTATCTGGTCATGGCATCTTCCCACAACAGCAATGGCCACCACAGAAAGCAACAGATTCCTATGGAGGAGCAAACCTCTTACACACTAGACCCTGCCCCAGGAGTTTGGGAAGCAGGACCAGTTTTCTTTCTCTCTCACATTCCTTTTACAGTGTCATGTAATATCTCCACGCTATTAGATGCATCTGCTTCATGAGTAATTCTTCGATGAGCTGCTGGGAAGGGTGAAGCATGGCTTATTTTACTGATGCCTTGGTGATGTAAGAGAATAGTCCTGGTCATCTCCAGCAGCCTAGACTTTTCTTTTAGGTGTGAAATGGTCCTTGGACTTGAGGGTCCTTTGTGGAGACAGAAATGTATGCCCCACTAAGAGGAGCCCTGGGACTCAGTCCTTTCAGTTTTCCAGTCTTTCTTTGGAAGTCTTCCACATAATAGTGTCTCTTTCCAAAGCACTTCATTAAAGCCTTGGGGAAGGACAGATCTACATTTTGTGTTTTGGCTTACTTTTAAACAGTTTTCCTCTTGATATTAGCTGGTTTGTGCTTGGGTCAGTACACCATAGAAATCCTGGCCTTTAGGAAATGTGGAAGGGATGTGTAATCTTTGTGTTGGCTGACTCAACAGTAAGAGTAGTCAATGGACTCTTAACACTCTATATCTATCAGTTTTCAACAGCATTATTTAAAATAATGATGACAATTATGTGATTTACTTGGTCTTTCTCCCTTCACGGTAAACACCTCCCTGTGGGCACAAGATCTGGAAACTTTGGTAATCACTTTTCAATTAAAGCAAATATCAACCAAAATTCTGCTGGTAAATCTTTTTCATGTCATAACAATTTTTTATGGTCTCCAGTGTCAAAGAGGTATGAGAAGACAACTACAGTGGTGAAACTACAGATGAGAAAATTGGCATAGCCCTTTTACCTCATGGAGCAAGGCTGGTGTACGCTGGATTGGACTAAACCTTCAGATATGTTCAGGACAGAATGAAGAGTGGGAAGAGAAGGACTGTGGCATGTTGGGAGAGGAAGGTGGCCTTGGGTGGCTGCACTTCTCCTTTTTGGTAGTTCTCCTATGCTATCTGTTCAAGCCCTAACAATTTCTAACACCTTCGTCCAGATAACACAAAACTTTTCCCAAACAGTGTTTGCTGGAAGGCTCAGTCTGCAAAAGCACATGACATGATGGATTATGTCTCAGATCACAGTGTCATTGATAGGTGAGTACTCTCCCAGAGAGGACATGATGTGTTTGCAGAGGGACTGTTCACCTTTTGTTCCTCTGACCCAGGTGCAAAGTCCCAGAGTAAACTCTGCAGTGCAGAAATAATCTTAGCTCTCTCCATAGGACCACAGAGAGTCTTCATGAGTTCCCTTTCCCCATTTCTGATGGTGCTGCAAGTGTCAGCATTCATTGTCTTCATTGCAGTGTTTGAGAACTACCCATAAAGATCAGCCTATCATCTGGCATATTCTGGATATTAGGAGCCTGTCCATTGACTTCTAGAGACTTTGTCTCCAGTTATCTGTGTGGCTTGAAAAATTGTGTGGAATACCACCTATTGGGCATTTTTGATCGAGTGTGGAAAGGGAGGCTGGGGGAAACAAATCAAAGGAAGAGAAAAGAATGCATCCTTGTTGTAGTAGGGCTCATTCTTCTGCTTGTGTCTTTGTTTTTAGTTGTATTTTACATGCACTTAAAAAATAGTTAGCTCAACAAGTGAGGCTGGGAAGAAAGATGCCAAGACCTCTCATAGACTGGGGGATGCTGGGACAGTGGTTGGAAATGGGTAGGGCACTGAAGGGGACGGGGAGGAAGCCCACGCACTTACATCACGATTCTGGCACATTTTCCAAGTGAAAACCAAAACTAGCTCAGACACCAAATAAAGAAAAATGAAACGAAAAATAAAAAGAAAAATTAGGAGAAATGAAAGACAAGCAAAACACAGATTTTTCTTTCAAACCCTGGGGATGGGGGAAAGAAGAGGGTGGAGAGAAAATGGAAATGCCTAAATGGGAGCTTGGGAAGGGTTAAGACACCAATCTCATGGCAATTCCCATTTCTCCTAAGTGTTTCATTCTCAATGTCTCTGAGGTGTTCAAGTTTGTCTTGAAAAATATATATATTACAGATGAAAAACTCCGTACCAGCAAGAAGAAATAAAATAATAACAATGGAAAACAACAATCATAAAACAAAAACACAGTCCTGAAAACATAAAAAGGAAACAGGGTGAGTCTCAAATTTCCCCTGTGGTGTTCCTCTGACTTCAGTGACAGTGCAGAATTACACCAGTTCACTTTGATACTTTTGTTTTTTTTAAACAGCTTCTTATTCCTTTCATGTGCACATGTCCAGGCAGTATAGCCCATCACTCATAACCACTTTCCTCCAAGCCAGCTATTTGTCCTTAGACTCCTACCATCCAGCTGTGAGTACAAGGCATGACAATAGGGTCCATATTTATCTTTTGTGGCACTTTGTTTGTCAAAACCTTTGGTTTCTTCCTTTTTTTTTTTTTTTAATTTTCCTTTTTTATGTACTTATAAAAAATATTGTGTTTGTGGTGGTGGCTCTGGTGGGACTTCCACCCCACTTTCACAGCCATAATAAGTGGATCTGGAACATGCGCCGACATTACTAAATGGATCAACAAAACCATGGCAGAACCAACCAAACCCAAACCATCCCCAATGCGCAGGCCTCTTAAAAATGCTGAGATGTCCATAAGGTGCATGATGAGTCCATCAGCTCAGCAATCGAACAGAAAGCAAGCAAAATTAAAAAGGAAATAATGCACACGCACGCACAGATACACACACACACGCACACACAAAATAATAATAATTATAATAAAGAGAGAAATGTCTGGGGTTTTAAAACCAAGACGTGTCCCTAAGTTTGCTGTTTCAATATGAATCTTGTAATATTCTCCCCACAGACACATCCAGTTTTGAACTGCTGTTCTTTAAATGGTTTTAGAAAGACTTGCCTACATGTGTATCTGCTTGGCTGAACGAAACCCGCTTGCTGACTGACTCCTGTTTGCACCACATCCCTCATTAGACACACTCATGATCCATCGTTCTGAAGAGGTTCTGGTTTGCTAGCAAGAGGCATGAATAAAACCAAATGCACTTGTTCTGTAATCAATTTACACACCCTGTCTTTACCCCTTTCTCCCTCCAGGTGCAAAGTAGATCCAGGCTGTAGCTCTGAGGATGGTGTGAGATGGATGTGGGCTGATTTTCCGTGACATCAAGCCACTCTTCCATCTGCAGTGAGCTCTGTTCACTTCTGGTGAGATGAATGCAGACCCAGCTCTTGCCTCCATGGTGTACAAGATGCAAGGTTCTCCAGACCCTGAGGGTCTCCCACTGTGCTGAACCACGGTGTTATCCAGGCTGGTAGCTGTATGAAAAAAATAGCCAAACACAGAAGTGACGTAGGATCTCACTTCTCTATGGTTGGCCATGAAACATGTTGAGATGTTGTTCTGGAGGAGCTGAGCAGAGGATAGGACAGGGTAATCACCTGCAATTGTCCTGTGGTGACAGTGATCTCTGAAGAGATAGGAAGTGCAAAGACAGAGCAAATCCTTCCCAGGCAGCAACTGTGCCTTCAGCGAGGCCTATCGGTTCCAGAAACGGAGAAGAGGAAAGGCCAGGAGCTGGCACCAAAAGGCAGATGAGCTTACAGCAGTTCAGAGACCTCCAGAAAACATGCAGTTCTGCCGGGGGTATCTAGGTAGAAGAATATTTTGCAATGTTTCATTTGGATTGCCTCCAAGATTTCCTTCCAAAATGTGTGGTGACATTTCCTCTTAGGAGTGGCTTTGAAGAAAGGTTTTACCATTAGTCCTATGCACCACCTTCCTTCATGGCAAACCCTTCAGTATCCTTCTGATATTCCACCATTGGAAAACAATAGCTTTGTTCCAGTTGAGGAAACAAAATGGAAAGAACTAACAGCTTTAAAAAAAAAAATCCCTCTGGTTGGTTTTTGAGGCCAAGCTCCTTGCCTGGAACAAAATGAGACTTGTGGCTCTTGCTTTCCAAGCTGAGGTGGGAACAAGGGAGATGCTGTGCTGTCCATTGCCAGAAAGAACAGAACCACCACCAACGGGATGCCACTGAGCAGAGAGAGCATTTTTGCCGCAGTGCTACGACCAACAGGACACAATGGGAAAGACAGGGGAACACAGGTCTCTTTGAAAAATAAGAATAACCATATGAAACACATGGGCAGGGGAGCATTGGTCTCCTCCTCCCCTCTTGACCCTTCCCCTGCCCCAAGAGAGCAGCTACACCGCTATTTGCCCAGGCAGATAAGAGCCACAATGGTCCCACTCTGGACGGAGTTGTGGCATTTTTTTGGGGAGCCTTGGGGTTCCTCTCCCAGTGGGTCACCATCAAGAGATAGAGTTGCAATGGCTCTGCAGGAGAGGATCTTGATTTGCTCCTGCCCTCCAGGATCCCTGCAGGCAGGCTGCCTTCCCCTGGGGGAGACTTTTAGTAATACTGAGTTCATTTCCATGTCCACTCCAGAGGCTACAGCCCTAGGAGGGCAGTTAAAGCAGCATGACAGAGGTGACCTCCCAATTTCCCATCTGCAGAGTGATGATGTGATGTTGGAGGAAGGTTTGTGGTGTGATTTGTGTGTATTAGTTTTTCTCCAGGGCAAAGGCAGAGGGGAAGCTGTGAAAAGGAGAGCTCCACCCAACTGTCTTGATGTCCCCAGAGCCAAGATTCCTCTGCAGTCTTTTCTTTTAACCCCTGGGGCTTTGTCGCTTTGTCCATAGATTTTGAAAGAGAAAGAAATGAGAGAGAGAGGAGTGCTGTTCAGGTGACTCTGCTTACAGCCGATCAAAACTTGCACTTGGTAAAGATGATGATCTTGAGTGAGGCACGACTTGGTTTATCCCTCCCAGGGTGTCCCTGGCAGGACAGTTCTCAGCTGTCTATGCTCATGAGGGCTATGACTTGTTCAAGTTTGTAGGCAAGTTTCTGTTTCCCAGCCTGGTCATCTTGATCAAGGGCTCCGAGAATCTGGAAAAAGAAAGAGAAAGAAGTTGTAGGGATTTAAGTTTTTTTGCCCAGAAGGACTGAGTCCAGCATCTTACAACAGCAGATGAGGGTCACATTTTCCTAAGGTGGGTCCCAGGTTTAGCTTAGATCATGCAAAGCAGGTCAGTCAGTGGGGAACTAGGAAAGCAGTTTGGGATACATCTGACTAAATACAGACCTCTACACTGCAGCCAATCAAACAGATTCTTATCTTGGAGATCAGTTATTTGGTAGCTTTATTCATCACCTCACCATGCCACCTGAGATGTCTTAACGTATCCCACCCGATCTTCAACACACAGAACCATGCAGGTCACCTTTAAGTCCTGTGTCATGCTTGCTGGACCATTCTCGGGTGCTTTAGGGTATCTGAAATGGCACTGGGCACATATGCTTAAACAACTTTTGGCCACATGTGATGCAGAGCTCATGTACGGCTCCTCTGTAGCAAGCTAACATCTGACCATCAACTACTGCAAGCCAGCTAAACCCGATTGACCAATAATAGGACACAAAAATAACAGGGATCCAGATGAAAGAGTTCTGGGGAGACCAATAATCCCAGGCCCTCCCTTTCCATACCCCAGGCCTTGCTTTTCATTCCTTAAATCCATCATCCCCCTAGACGGGATGAAGACAGGTATCTGTGACACATGCTGGGCCCTGGGAATGGGTGGGCTGTCCCATGGTCCTGCAGAACTTCTCTTCCCCCTCCAAGGCTCTTACCTCCTCGCTGTACTTGCCAACGTAGGAGTATATCTCTGAGAGCGCACTCATTGTGTTGAACTCGTTCATATGCATGCGAGACTGCTCAGCCAAGTATGCATTCATGTCCTGGTCACTGATTGCTGGCATTTTGGCGATGTCTGAATAGTACCTGAAAGAGAGAAACAGTGTTTCTTGAGGGGAGAAGTAGGAAGTCAAGAGATGAAATCCGTCAACAATAAGCAGAAAGGACACACTTAGCACTCTTGGGCTCTTCTGGTGCATCAGTGGTATACCTGGTCATGCTCTTCTTTTACTACAAGGGAGATGACTTAGCCAAAAGTGGAAATTCCTGGATATGAGATGTCTGTTGTATTCACTCAACCCTATTCTGAGACTAAAACTCCAAAAAGCATCCTGTAAACTTTCTCCATGCCATCAAAGAAGTAGGAAGTACCTATTGATGCTGGATTCCTTTGTCAGGCCTTCAAGGGCTTTGAGCACTACCTCCAGTCCCACAGAGAAGTCCCACTGATCTCGCTGCCCACTGAGAGCTCAGGATTTCACTCCCATAGACAAAAAAAGCTTTGCATGCTTTCTTGCACCATTCACACTAGTACATCTGCATCCATTGCTAACATCATCTATCTCCAACACTGAAACCAGTCTATCCCAGAAACTCCTCTGATGCTCAACATCTCCCTTTTGCCCCAAATTTTAAGCTGACCTGACAGAACAGTTTGTGGCAACAGGCTTCAAAACATCCCCATCCCCATTCAGACTGTGGAAAATCTGCTTCACTTAGGAGTTAACAACATTCCCCTTGAGCTCAAGAGGACTGGGGATTTATCCGTAAGATATGGAGCCACCAGCACCATTGCCCATCAGACTTCATCAGCAGAGCAATATCTCTTTAAGGAAGCTGCTATTTTCGATGTCCTTCGTCCCCTGGGTAAGGCAGGTCTTGGAGGACAAGGCTTGCGGAAGGTAATCAGTCACTGTCACTCGCAGCTGTGCTCTGCTGTCAACTGGTTAATTAGATGCCATCATTTACATTTTTAATTTCTGCAATTTGACATTTTGTGCATAAGGAAAAAAAAAAAAAAAGAAAAAGGAAAAAGCCCATAGCTGCAGCAATCCACAATTTTATAATTAGGAGGCAGAGGGGACAGGGAGCCAAAAGAGCTGACAGGTGTCCTGTAAACAGCGTTGAGACACCTGCTGAGATGGAGGCTGCTTTCCACTGCAGAGAAATTGGACACTGAAGTGCTGTATGATAAGGATCCTTCAGACAGACAAGTGGGAAAATACTCTCTATGACAGAGCGGGACAAGCAGCTGACGAAGTTTCCTATGAAAGACAGCACAGTGCAAGAGCATGGGGAGGAAACCCCTCTACACCAGAAGGCTCCAGTTTTGCTGTCTGGTTTTGTGCCCTGCACTCCCATCCTGATTTATTGCAATAGGTTCGTCTCAGTTGCTATCCTGGTTTTGCAGAGAGGGGTTGATGTAACCCTTGGGAGAGAAAAGCATAGGAGGCAGAGGTCCTTCTCCCAGCTCTGTGCATAGTCTTCCAGCCTAACTGCTTCCAGAGCTAGACTCTCACTCATCAAAAATCTCATGCAAACCTCATTAACTTTATTGCAACTTCCAGTATGCACAACAACATTACTCTTCCCGGAGTCCTAGCATCTTGCCTTCTGGGCACAGGACCAGCCAAAAATCCTGGTCTAACTCAGTCCCATGGTCCAAATATTGCCCACTCCCAGTACTCCAGTGATGACTGGTCTGGGCTTGATTTTGCTTTACACTTTGCCTAACCCCCAACCCCCAAGTGGATCTGGACAGTTGTCTATAAGGGAAGGAGCCATCTGGAAACCTCACGAGGACCTGTCCTGCAGAACTACCTCCAAGAGAAAATGATGAACAGGATGAATAAATATTTCTAGACCTTTTTCACTCCCAGAAAACTCAAACAAGTCTCAGCATCAGCAGATGGACAAAACCAGACCTGTGCTGCATGCACTTCTGACAAGAAAAAGCTTCAGGGACTGGTGGCATCTATGACAATGCTATTGCAGGCTCCTCAGAGCCAAAGCACATTGTCGAGAAACAAGTTGCCTTATGGCCAAAAACCAAGGTGTGCCTTGGCACCCGAAGAAAACGACATCCATGTGCGACCAGCACAGTTCATAGACTTGTGAGGAAAACCAGCCTGCAATGCAGTGAAATGCATTGATTTATGGTGCCTAAGAAGAGCCTATGGACAAGAGCCCAGCTCCTCATGAATATTGCATGGGCACCTTCCTGCTAGGCAAAATGAAAAGTGAAAGGGATTACATCACAGCAAAAAAGTAAATGAGGCCAGTGGAGGAAAGCAGAGGTACTATGTTGAATCTGCCAGTCTGGCTCTAAGAAGCAGTTGAAATGTTTCTTTTCCTCCCTGGTTTAGCTAGTCATCAAATGGTGGCAGGATAGTGGGTGCAGGGATGGGATGCTTCTAAGACGTGAAACACAGACACACATATTGTCTGCTTCTCCAAGTTTCTCCTCTCCCTTTGACCTGGTAGCAACGCTCTCCTGGGTCTGTGACTTACAAGGGTCTGAAAGCTCCCCAGTCCCTTTACAGCCCTGCAGAGATATTTTTCCACCAGCATAACACTCCCATGACTCATCTGAACAACAAAAAGCAACATGCAATGCTCCCTGGAGTGAAGGACAGGATGCAAGAAAATCTGAGTTTCAGGGCTTGGAGGCCTCTCCAGCCATGACAGACTCTCAAGCTGTGATCTCAGTGTGCTGGGTTCACGGGCCATCACCCACTGCCACACCAAAGTGTCCTTGTCTCCCCTGGACTCAATTCCCTGGCCATCATACACCTGAGCAGTCATTTCCCATTAAGACTGCAAACCAAGATATTGTAGAAGTGTGTTTCACGGGAAAAATAAAAGAAAAAGAAGGAAAAATAAAGCATGTATCAATTATCAAACGTAGCTGCTAGTGCAAGGAGAAGACATATAATATCCTTCCATCAGAACTCTGCCATGGCCAAATGACTTATTTATACAGAAGTGTTTCTAATGAAGCCATCATTGTGCTATCTAAAGAAATTATGAATGTGTATATTAAAGCATCCTAGCAGGGAGATGACAACATCCCTGCTGAGTCTTTATTTACCTTCTATTTGAGCCCAGATCCTCAGAGATACTTAGGGCCTCCCTGCCATTTGCATACCCCTAATGTCTTCAAAACCACTGTGAAGCTGTCACCGAACCCCAGAGGTCCTTACATTTTCACTGCTGACATTTGCAAGGCTGCTTGTGTGCCGCTTCCCTTCACCCCTGCAGCTGCCAGCTCTCACACCATAGCTGAAGTGTGAGGCAGTGCAGGGGGAGTGAGATGCTCCTTCAGCACGCTGCTCCTGTGAGCACCCCTAAGCTGAGGGGCACCAGATCTCACCTGAGACATGGGCAGATCATTGACTCACACTTCCATAGCCCCAGAGGCTGCACTAGCCAGCAGGAGGTGGGGAACGTAAGACTAAGCCAGATTCCCTCTGAATGAGACAGGAAGGTACCAAAGCAGCAAATTGAGCTTAGCCTGCCTGCAAAGGCTCAAGACTGAGTCCAAACTAGAAGACAGTGACTGTTTAGACATGCACCACTTGCTGGCCTGGTGCTGCAGATTTGCTCCTTCTTCTGTACTCCAGTTTTGGTTACCTCTAGTGGATCCTTTTCCAGCTGTTTCCAGGAGATCCTTAGATACACATCAAAAGATCCTTTCTTATGTGCTCGAGTTTCCCCTAAATCACAGGACGATACTGACTTCTTACCTCAAGGCTGCTCATTCTCTGATGTGGCAGGAAACTTGTTCATTAGACGTCAGAAGCCCTCAAGAAATTTGTGTAAAAACCTCACTCAGGCACATCAGCAACTCAAATGGAGGATGTGGGGATTACTGCACCATAGGATGTGACTTCATAGGTATCATTAGCACAGCAACTCACCCCAGCCTGGCTTGAACAGGAGAGCCCATGGGACCATCCACTGCCACTATTGTATGGGGAAGGATTTTGGATGCACCAGTATACAGTAGCGCTCCCTCTTATTCCCAGAAAATAATCATTCTCATTGCTTTCACATCCTCTTCTTTTCCTGGGTTATGTTTGCTTTGTTTTAATTTGTTTGGATTTGTTTTGATTTGATTTGGTTTGTTTTCCGAAGGAAAGCAATACAACAGTGACCTGGGAATACATCTTGCTCTCTGTTTAGCCAGGGGTAAATGCTCTTGCCTTCAGTACCAACCAGGAAAGGCTCCTTAGTGGAGCTGTTTCACAAGAATGATTGTGCCTGCTGCCACTCAGTAACTCATTAACTCATCAAAAGAGAAGAGAAAAGCCGTGTTGCCAGTGCTTCCTGAAATTTTCCAGCATGGCCGTGGTTTAGGCAGCTTAGCATGGAGCTAATTGCCTTCCAAAAGATCTTTTTGTCATGGCTGTTGTTGTGCCTTCGCTGGGTTGGGACTGCAGTCATTAATAATCATTTTAGCATATGAAAAGCTTGTAACGAATCCATGTGCTGCAGACGGCAGACGCAATTACAGCAATAACATAATTAGGGTTATGCAATAGCCGGCTGTATCTAGACCACTGAAGGAGGAAGAGATGTATGAAAGGGATGTGGGAGACTGCTATAGCAGAGAAGGTTTGAAGGAAAGCCTGGGAACAACCTAGTGGACAGCTCTTTTACGGGATGAAGTGAAGCAATGCAAGGACATGCTGTCAGTTCTTCTGTTGGCATGGCAGTTTTCATTTCCTGGGAGGCATCTGAGCTGCAAAGTTTGTGCTGATTCAGCTACAGGCAGCTGCAAGACTCTGTTAGCCCAGACTGATCCTATTTTGGAGAGAGGTTCAAGGCCAGGCTATTGGGCACTGAGTGGACTTTGGCAGTAATAGCATGACAGCTAAGCAAAAGGCACTGGCCCCAAAGTTAGCTGAAGATCTTCCAAAGATTTACCTTGACCAGCTTGAGGGGATGATTCTGTCTGTGTATGCATCCCCTAGCTAGGGAAATGATTTTCTTTTGCCTGTGTATGGCTTTTCTTGCTGCTTTTCATTTCACAATAAATGATAATGGGCAGGCAGCACTGAGTCAATGGCTGAAGAGTGAATCGGTGAACAGGTAGTTTCTCTGGGAAAAGATATCGTCCAGCATCATCTCAGTGCACAGGTCTGAGGTTGTACCCTCTGTGGGTAGACACATTTTCATCCCGCCTGCTGAAAACTGCACTACGTAAGAGCAGGATGTTACTGCAATGAGAAAATATCAGGAGCTTTTTGGAGACTAAAGGTGAAGACAGACAAGTGAACAGTCTTCAGATACAGCAAAGGCTGCAGCAGAGAGGCAGGGAATGAGCTGTACCCCATGTCCCTGGGGTTGTGATGAGACAGCATGGGCTTTAATTACAGCCAGGGAGATTTTGGCTGGCCATCAGGGAAAACCCTCTGATGGGAAGGACAGGGAAGCGCAGGAGTGGATTGCCTGAGGAGAGCAGAAGCTCTGTTGTTGGAGGCCTTTAAGAAGGGGTAGACAAGCATCTGTCAGGAAGGCTTTAGACAGAGCTGATCCTGCCCTGAGGCAGGAGCTGGTTGGGTTGACCTCTTGAGGCCCCTTCCAGAACCATTTTTTATTATCTCTACTGACAACACCCCCCTACCTTAGCCCTCGGTATGCTATATCTTGAGCCTTCTTTCTGGCAGGGAAAGGAGCCACAAAAGACTGCATTTTTTCGAGTAGAGCCAGGATTTGCAGCTGTCTTTTAAAGCCCTTAAAGTCACCCCAATGTTTCTGCTTAAAACCTCAATAACTTACAATGTCAGGGTGCATGCCGCTTAAAATCTTTATTGTACTAAACTAGTCCAATTTGTCTTTCTTTCTAAAGTTAGCTGCAAAGTAGCCAACAGACATCACAAGCACTGCACTGGAAAACACCATCTATTGACTACAGAGTCCTGGAACTACGGGTTAAGTGATGTAGGTTAGATCCCGAATGGGGACAGACTATCCATTCTGCATACTCCAAACATACTCCCACAGCATTTTCTACTAGGCTTAAGACCTTGACATCTAAAGGCTTAAGCCATGCAAATCATAGCTCTTCAGGAAAAGGAAATAGGTGAAATCACAGACCCAGGACCTGGGTACCAACAGCTAGGTCAGTGTTTGTGCCCAGGTTAACATAATAAACTGCAGATGTTGTAATTCTGAATCCCACAGATCAGGTCACTTTAAACCTCTTTTAGTCCAGAACTTGGCAAGCGTATTTTGAATGGTCTTCATTGGAAGATTCTGAAGGTGTTAAGAATATTTGCAATGTCTCCATTGACTTTCAGCTTTTCTTTGAGGGGCTATTTTTAATGCATGATAAGCAGCCAAAAGGAGACCAAGTCCCTGCAGGGATGAGAAAAAAGCACCAGTTCCTCTCCTTGCAACACTGCAGGTATTTTGGGCACCAGTGTGCAATGCAAAAACTCTCTGGCTTCTGCTTTTTGTGCTCTTCCCCTTTTCAGTTTCCCACATCCCTGCCTCCATGCCAGGCTTTGGTAGGGAAACATCGTATTGATTGTGATGCAGGCAATTAAACGGTGTTAATGAAGTTCAAACAAGTGTTATCATAAGCTTGGCAGCATGGAGAGAAATGAAAGGTCAGCCACAGCCCTTTGTCATCTTTTCAGTGTGGTGTTGAATGCTAATGAGACAGTCCCAATTAGAACAGGCTCCCCTTTGTATTGCTTGGGGATTGCATCAAATGCTCCCAAGTTCTCCAGATTTCTAGGCTCAAAGGGGACATTTGAAGTAAACTTGAAAAGATGCAGATCTGAAGCTGCTCTAATGTAAATTCAGCAAAGCCTATGGAGTTTTACTAACAGAAGTCAGATGAGAATCTGGTCTACCATTCCCATTCTTTTCCTTTTTTTTTCAATAGACTCAGATAATGATAATTGAAAAGACTCCACCTTGTTTTAGAACAGGCCTGACTCTTCATGGCTTCAACAAAAGCCAAATAGTCTGTCCCCATTTCCTGGGTTAATTCTCCTGCCTCAGTCAGGCCTTATCTTCTCCCACAGGAAACCCAAGTTGTGGTTGCACCTAGATACTTTTTAGACATGCTTTTTCACACTGAAAGAGCTGTGGGTGTGTAATTTGAATGCTGAACCTGGTTTTCCCAAAAGTCAGGATTTCTCAGAGGGTTTGTTTCAGCAGGCACAGTCCACCTCTGCTTCCAAAAGCATGAAAAAAGGACTGTTGAAATAAATTCCCAGTTGACTACCATGTGGAGGTAGACCATTGATCAGGCCAGAATCTGTAGCTTCCCAATGTACATTCACACTCTAAAGAGGTGGAAAACTAATCTTTGAAGGATTGGAGGTATGTACTTTCACCCATGCCTGTTTCTTGTGCCAAGGTCATTCCCTGCTTTGAGTTTTGTGAGTCCTAAAGGCACACTCCGCACTGAGAAACCAGGAGTTGCAAAGGGAAGGCTTGGGGTAACCCAGCTCAGCTACCATTTCAACAGACCTGTTAAAAAACAGGAGTCTGTCTTTACTCCAGAGTGCCTTCAAGTAGGGTTACAATCTACCACTGCCTAATTGCCCTCTTACAGATTCTTCTTCATCAAAGAAGTTCATTTGATTTCAGGTTCTTCTGATTTACTCAACCACTTCTTAAACTCCCCAACTGAAAATCTTTTTATCTTATGATTCGCTCTTTGAAGAAGTCTAGTGGTCTTGAAGGATGCCATCTCCAGCTGATACTGACTACAGAAATAGCTCCAACCAGTACTGGAAGCCTGTGGTTTTGGAATAACTCCCTCAAAGTACAGTTGCAGAATGGAGAAAAGGAATTCAAGGTAGAATTGAAATTATATTTTATTCATCCTTGATATGTTTTCTCTTTGATCTACCACAGCATCCAGGTGCTACTGCCTTGAGTCAGTGGAACTGACACACAAAAATATAAGCAGGGCAGAAGTTCTAACCATATTCCAAAATCTGCAGCCTCCCCTTGGGCTTCAGTTCAAGTTGTCAGACATCAGTGCAGATAACAACCCAGCACATGCTGGGCACAGAAATCCAGTGCTGTTTACTAGCAGCAGGAGGTGTTATGTACCTCGTTTGCAAACCCAATTGTTCGGGAAAACTTCCAGAGAAATGCAGCACCTATTGCTGAAGATCACTGGGCAATGGGATTTAGCTCCAAAAAGTTGTAAAGTGAAATCAATACTGGAAAAACAAAATGGAAACTGCAGCCTTCAGTTTATCCAGAAAAAAAAAGATGTTGCATGAGGAAATACCTTGTTCTCCACCTACATACCTCAGTTTGTTGCTCAAATGTACCATCTCCAAAGATAAAAAATCAACCAGGGTCATGTGTAAAACAAAGTATTTGTCCACAGATACCAACCACTCACTACACACAAGGCTGCTAAAGCATTACTAAAATATGATACCTTTGGGTCACTGTTGGTGCAAACTTGATTTCTAAATGAATCTCAAACACCTCTTTCTCCGTATCCAGGTCAATCCAGCAATCAGCCTCAATACATACTAAGAAACTTGGACACAGTACCAGAAGTAGGTCATAATTAAGCAAGGTAGCTTGTAAGAGCCTTACAGGTTGCCTAGAAACGACATTTGCAGAAGTGTTTAACCACATCTAAAAATAATTGTCCAGACAAATCAGAGACCAATGGGAGCATTATTCTAAAAAATGTCACCTCATGCCAACTAGGGGACAGAGCTCTTTGATCAGCCATGCTCTCCTTTCACAAAATGAGAGAGAACCATCCCCACCAAAGGAAATACACTGGTTTACAACGCAGTGTGCCTACAGTAGCAGAGGTCTCATTTAACCTGCACGGTGTGGTATCAGTTTTAGACAGTGCCTGTGAAGTCATCCAGACAAATCATTGCTTAAAACTGGATGGCATTGTACAGGAATGATCTGTAAGATAAATCCATCCTTGTATTTACAGAGTAGCAATCATTCTCCATCTGTGCAGTTCCCAAACCTGTCAATAACGCCAGGCAAGCATAGCATATTGGAAAACAAAGCACAGACCAACTTCTGCAAGGCTTGCTCCAGCAGCCAGGCTCCCGCTGAATGGAGTGCAAGATGTGCTATTTGCTTGTCCTGTGGAAAATCTTAGAGAAACTGAAGGAATAGTTGTCTTGGTTGTATTCCCTGTAGAGTAGCTTTGCCAGACACTGACCTTCAGTGCGGTAGATTGAACACTACAGCTACAGGTCTTGCAGATGTGGATAAAATGCTTGGAAAGACCTCTGACCTTTCAGAAAATACCTGCACAGCTTCAGTCACCAGCCTGTCAATCTCATAGCATCTCATTCAAAGCACAGAAGAGCCTCCAAGGAAAGCTACTGGACTCAGAATAAGGGGAGATAATTGTATGATCCTTGGGATCTAGGCAGTGTGAGGACTGTCACAACGGTGCTGAGAACAGCAAAACACTTCTGGTCTGTGTGGAAAGACTTAGAAGCCCACGTACTTCACAGGGCTCAAACACACCACCTCCCCTTCCTTCCTCCCTCTATCGTTTCTCAACAGTTTCTCCTCAAGAGAAACAATGATAGCAAACACCTTCAGTTCACACCTTTAATTAAATTTCCATCTCTGCTGCAAGGCACGTGGGAATAAAAGGCTAACACAGAGCTTTCTACTTAGGCAATAACGAAAGAAAAAAAGCCCAGAGGCAGCTACCAGAAGCAATACTGATGATGCCTCCTACCTCCATCCATGAAGCAGGGCCTCGTTGTATCACTTGCTTATGTCATTCCTATTTCTAGACCTAAAACTCACCTTTCCACCCAGTTCTTATAGCTGGGGATGTCCTTGGCATAGAGAAGCTTGTTGGAGGGTGAGTCTTTGCCCAGACGGTGTTCTGAGGTCGAACAGGAGTCCATGAAAGTCTGAGCCACTACAGAGAGGCAGGCATCTGTGATGCTGTTCTTGTGGATGTCGAAGACGAACTGCGGGTTCTTGATCATGTTAACCCAGAACCGTAATGGCAGGCTGCAAGAGGAGTGGGAGGGGTGGAAGAGGTGAGTCAGTCAGTGCAGGGTTCACAGGCTTTTTTGTGTGAAGTTACAATGGCAAATGGTGGATGGGGATTGAAGATCATGGTGCAGAGATAAGGATTCTGGGATAAGCTTTGATATACAATAAATTCCTCGCCTACAGGACTCTAGGGACAGCAGTGGAGTCACCTCGGGAGTGGCTTTTGTCCTTGTTATCCTTACAAACCAGATTTTGTCAGTCTTAAAGTCAATGCCATCTCATTGAAGTTGCACATAAATTGCATTGAAAATGCAACTTCTTTACGTTAGGTTGTAATGTAAAGTTGCATCTGTTGGCTGCTTCATCAGACGAGAATAGGCATTACATCCGCAAAACTTACGGTGAACATTTATCATTGAGGGACTTGGCTTTTAGCCCTCATAGCAACCTCATGGGAAGACAGGTAGATAGAGCTCCCAGGTTGAGACTAGGGGTGTTAATGGCATGCACTGTGTGCTGTGGACACCGTGTGCTGTCACACTCCACAGCTCAAGCCCAAGCCCACATATGATCCCAGCACACTGGGCATGAAGCAGTTGTTACATGACAGGGAAAACCCTGTTGCCTCAAGGACAAAAAGGAACTGGGAAGCAAGTGTTGCAACCTTTGAAATGAAAATATATCTGCCCTAACCAAGGAAATGTTATTCCAATTGCAATCCAAAGTCCTTTTTATTCCCCCTTATTCTCAAACGAGCAGTTCATTTTTACAAGATGCCCTGAGGTATCTACCTCCAGCCTTTGCCTCAAGCTTTTTTGTTAGGGCAAATGCATTTATGATTGTGGCCTAGGAGCTGAGACGTGTCACTGATCACAGAGTCAAACTCTTGTCTCTCTGTCAGGCAGACTGTTAAGTCTACCTTCAGTGTCTGCACCCTCCCAAGAGGAGGTTATTCTTCAGCTTAACAAATCCACCTGATGTTCAGGCTAAACTCCCCAGTTCCTCAGTTCCTTCCTTTTGCTTGTTACCTGATGTGTTCACAGCACCATAAAAAATTCATCTCCAAGTCCGATACATTTTGGGTAACAGCAGGCAGTTTAGCATGTCCTGACAGGGAGATGACACCATGTTTTCCTAAACTACTGTCTGTTCTCCTGAGCCATCAAAATCACAGAGCAAATGTAAGGAAAACCTCACACAGGTAATCCTATCAGCCAAGCAGCCTCTGTAGGAGAAAGGGCAGAAGTACAGGAGAAGCAGGAGATGCTGGCAATGAGGGCTGACGGGAGTTGTGGGAAGGAAACATTTTAGGCCGGGAATGGAGGATTCATCTTTTGGGGGATGAGGTGGATGATTGAACCATGCAGAACTTCTTCTGCAGGTATTTTCGCTGGCAAACACAGCCACAGTGAGGACGAGCAGAGAGTGCATGTGTGTGTGCCTGAGTGTGTGTACAGGTGCGGGGAGGTGCTGGGGGGATGATGTCCCTAGCTGGGAATAATGAAGCCCATGATGTGACTTTGAGTTAATTTAATCTGATTGAACAGATTTCTTCATACTGCCCCTTTTCCCGCATACACACACACTCTGCCTTCTCCCCTCCCCCCTTAAATAAACCTCCTGCTCATTTAGTCTGAGTGGCTGCAATCAGCCTTAGATTAGTGCCGCAGATAATGTTAATAATATGCTAATGTTTCATTAGTTGAAAGCCTCTTTGGTGCATGGGGTTTCTTTTTTTATGTCACTGTGCGGTGACGATCTGCCATCAGCATGGCTGGTAAAAGGAAAAAATGCATGAGCTGGGAGCCCCATGGCTCTCCTCTGCTGTTCCTTTTATAGTCCCTGTATTTGCACAGGAGAAGGGGAGGGAGCGACTCCCCAGGGGACTCTTTCCAACAGGGAGACTCAGCAGAGAGGAGCCACAGAGACCTTTTCTCTCCACCGATCCTGGCTTTTCCCCATTGTCCCATTACAAGTACGAGGAGGGGCTGCTGCCTGGCAGCTAGAGCAGGGGGCTGATGTCAGACTTTGTCACTTGCTCCAAAGGAGACTCACATCCAGCTCTGGACCCTTGAAGTGCTCAGTACAATTCGAGATGCTCTCCTGGCCTCCATCTACCAGCCCAGGAAGGCACAAGTCTCCTGTGGGTGTTGCACATCCCCTATGGATATCCAGGATACCTTAAAATATCTCAGATGGCACAGGATGCCTATGTGTGGGCAAACAAATGGAGTTCTAGCCTCCCCTCTGACTATAATGGGAATTCAAACACCCAGTCTAGATGAAGGCAGTGGTGCTGAATCCTCTCCCATGCCTCCCTAGACATTCCTATGGGACTAGACACTGCAGCAGTTAAATAATTCACATTTTTCCTCCTATGTCCTCATGAGATTCCTCAGAAATACTGCCATCCCCATGTAATACAGGGCAAACTGGGACCTGTTTAACCAAAATGCTCCATCCTTGAATGCATCCTTTGGATTCTGGGATTTTCTGACTTCCCCATAGGCTTGGGAAGACTGAGCCTGGTTGCTCTGAACCCCATGCCAGGCTCCTTAGCTTCCCCAGCAGTCAGATCCCAAACCACATGTCCCTCTCCTCTTCTTCCAGTCCAGGACCTTGTGCTGAACTCTTCTGGGGTGTCTCACTCACCAATTGCTCTTCCAGGTGTGCCGCACGTGGGGGTCATGGATGTTGTGCTTGTCAGCCTGCTCATCCAGGAAGTCGAACATGTATTTGATAGCCAGGGGAAGTGCACTGCCACGGTGAGCAGTGCTGAAGATGGTCTCAAAAAGGTCATCTACAAATTTCTGGAGGGTGCCCTGTTGGGAGAAGGAAGGAGAGAAGAATGTGAGATACCACGTGGGAAGAGGATATTGAATTTTGGTACCCCACTGAAAACAGAGTATGTCTGTGAATCAGGCCCAGAAAGTGTGACTGAAAAGTGGTAGCCATCTAATATCTGCTAAATGTGACATGAGTTGGAAATTTCAATACAGTTGTCTTTAAGCAGGCACGTGCATCTTCACAATATCCGCTACATCAGGTTAGCAGCCAGCTGGAGCAGGTCAAGATGCTACCTGTCCTCTCTGCTGCTAGCACTCCCTGCCAGGGACAGTGGCTGAGCTGTGGGTTACCTTGCCCCATCTCAGGTATATGGTGATGGAGAGGGACGGATATATTCCCACTGAAATTTCTCTCCTCTGAGTGCTACCCTCAACTGCTTGAGTGCATGTATGAGGCAAAACCTAGCCATTTTCTATGCTGGCTTTCATCCAGGGCCAATTCTTAAGCTCAGAATAGAAGTTAGATGACTGTAGAGCAGAGCAGAAGGTGCCATTGAGACAAATGGAACAAAAGTGCCTACAGAGAGATGGTTGGTTTATATCTGTGAGTGGTATAATAAATAACACAAACTTCATCTTAATCCCCAAGAGGCCTCCTCAGTTTTTACTGCCCATTGGCATGGGACTGAGGCAAACCCTAGAAGCAATGCATACATGTGTCAGGTACTGTTCTGCAGACCTCAGTAATGTCCCCTGCAGAGACTGCAGAGGTCTCCTTATGCTCCTCCGGGAGGAGAATCCCAGATCCTGTGCTTGGAGAACCATCCTGGACAAACTGGTGAGGACAGCTGGCCTTTAGCAAGAGGATGAAGAGCTGGAGTATCACAGGGTGACCAGGCTTAGAGAAGGGGGCAGCTGAGGAGCTGTGATAATCAGATGAGCTTCAGGCTGTGTTTGGGGGCTACCCAGGCAAGGCATGCTTTCCCTGCTGAATGGAGAGCTCTAGCCCATGTTTGAACCTTTGCTCTGCCACCAGATCTTCATAGGTGTGTATATGTGAACAGACCATACAGCTGCTAGAATAACCAAAAAGCAATCAAATCTCCAACAAACATTTCCTGACATGCAAGATTTCTTCTTCTGAAAAATAAACCCCTCCTTTTTCTCTGTAGACCCAGGAAAGAAATTCTCCTCACTAGAAACGAAGAGGTTCCACCAGAGTGGCTCAAGTTTACATAGCGCTAACAAATACTTAATTAGAAAGCTGGTGTCTCTTGATAATTAACCACTTGATTTACCCTTCGGGAAACAAACAGAGGTACCTTTTGCTTGTATGAACTCCTACAGGGTGAATAAAGCCCTGCAGCACATCTGACTCAGAAAGGACCCCTGAGGGGAAATCTTGTTGGTCTGACATGGAAGAGCTGCCCTCGGGTTCAGTTTCTGGAGAGAATTAGTTCTCTACATGCTCACCCACACAAACACAAAGAAAACCTCTGAGGCTTTTAGGCAAGAGACTCTAGGTCTCAGAGGTCAGGGATTTACCAGAATAAAAGTCATTGTCAGTTTAACTAAGTATTCCCTGGGATTGTATTACCAGCAGTTGCTCTCTCTCCTCTTTCCCTCCCTCAAATGGTCATGATGAGAAAAGAAAATTGCTCAGCCCAAGAGGGGAAACAATAAACCCCCAGCCTTTCTACTCTCTCTGATGCTGTGCAAGTTTCGCAGCTGCTTTCCTGCCATCTCCACCAAAAAAAACCCCAAACCAAATGTTGAGTTTGTGATCCGGAACAGAAAGCAAAAGCGATTTAGTGGTGGGGTAGGGGATGTATCCCCAGACAGCGTAAATCAGCACTGGTCCAATGCTTGCTGATTTACACCAGCTGGGGCCCAGGCCCTGGGGAGCGTAATTTTCTTTGTACATTGTGTGATCCATAAAAGCATCTTGATGCCAGGGAGCTGGGCATGTACCAAGGGCTAAAGATAAAGCCACTTTATCTCCAAATCCCACTGCAACATAGACAGTCCGACTGAGGATGCGGGGAGAGTCAGACACCAGAGGCAAAATGACTTGAGGAACAAATGTGCAGGTACAACTGTATGGTAGGAGATAAGCATATGATGGATACCTGTCTGATGGGCAAACTCAGATGGCATTTGCATGAACACATGAAATTGTGTTTGTGCCTATTAACACCCTGACAAGAAATTATAATAGTCAAAATTTCAGAGAAGGGAGGAAGATTGGGCTGTTTGGTCACTCAGAACAGGGTGAGATAACACTGTGATCAGCCACACCACAGCCACAGCTACCCTGCAGTTTCCACTTCTGGGATGCTTTGAGATAACTCTCATGTTAGAGAAATTCAGGCACAAAGATGCTCTGTGCTGCAAGAGGATGGCAGAACTGCAAAGGGAGCCTTTCTGTGATTATACTGCCTTCCTCCCCACCTGCCCTAGTCCCTGCTGGGGTGCAAAAGAAGATCATTGCAGCCTCTTCATTAATGCAGGCTTCACCAAGGAGGCCACTATCCACAGGGGGAAGAGCAAATAAATGTAAACTCAGACAACTGCTTTTGCCCATGCTCTGGTGGAGCTTTTACAAGTGAGTTAGCTGGAAGATAGTCTCAGTTAGAGATGAAAGAAGGTGAAAGGTCTGAGAGCTTTTGTCAACCCCAGAGAGAGCCAGATGCAGCAAGAACTGGCCATACCCTTCGCAGGGAAGGGACAGCATGGTGGTGAGTGACAGTGTGCAGACAGTGGCAATTAAGCCACTTTGTTGCTGTCATGGAGTCAAAGTCCACTGCAGGAAGTTTTAGACCTGTCAGCTTGAGTAATCTCCACTTGTGCAAGTGACCTCCCCATGATGCTGCATCCACAGTTACGCTAAACACTCACATACTTCCCCACTACAGAAGTTTTTGCAGGCACTGGCAGGCACCCACGCAGGAGGCTGGTTTCCAGCATTTTAGGGAATATGGGTTGAGCAGATGGGATCTTACCAACTTCCCAACATCCAAGAAATGTTGTTTCGGGAAAGCACAACCAGCCAGATCACAACATAAAGGAGGGCTTGGGTCTGCACCACCCCTGGGAGCAAGTCTTCACAGCGCGGGTAGTCCTTGCCCTCTCTGGAGAGACCTGCCATGGGCCAGCGGTGATGTGTGAGGTGTGTCTGGAGATTCAGATCAGGATGTCCCTGCTCTGCCTCCACCTGACTTAATCTGTATTTTCTCTTTGGACACCCTGAGCTTTCCATGTCTCAGTGGAGACGGGCATTTAACTCTGCTTGCTTTCCTTGGAGCTGGCCACCTATTAGCCACATCATGGTCAACTTAACCCCTTGCCAAATCATCAGCACGAGAGTCTTTGTGGGCCCAGGGGAACAGTGGAGGAGAAGGACTTGTACCACAAAACTCAGGGTTTTTGTGGCAAAGAGCCCATTTCAGACTGTGAGGTGTGACACATCTTTGGAACCTGATCTGGGTACATTTACTCCCTGGCTCTTCATTTGCTCAGTTTTGGTACAAGCTACAAGCCAGTATAATCGACAACCCCAACACACACCTACCCCTCTGCTGACTTTCTCCACCAGTCTCATGGCCCTGGGTTCTTTACTCCTCATTGCTTCCCGGTTTCCCTTTTCTGACTCTGCTTTCTAAACTCAAGCTCCTTCCCTCCATGCTTGGAGCACTCCTCTTGCTCTATTTTGGTTCTCTCTTTATCCCCCTTTGGCATCCTTTGAGCAGTGTCACATTTCTTGTAGGAAAAAAGTTCCACTGCAACCTTTAAAAACTCATTTCTCACCCTTTTCCCCACCCCCACCATGTACCTTGGTGGCAAGTAGCCTCGTCAGGTAGATCTCAGAAACCATCTTGCTGCCCCGGTCACCCTCTTTTTGGTCACCATGCTCATGGTTCTTCACCAAGTGCCACATCTTGACTCCACTCTCAAGGTCAGGGGTGATCATGGGGGTGCGGGAGCGGAGGCTATCCGGGCTGCCTGTGTAACGGATCATGTTTTCTGCAAAGAGAGATGCATGTGTCTCAGGCCTAATAGCACTCGTATTGGGATTAATGGGTTTCACCAAGGAAATATGTTAATGAAATGCCACCTAATAGAAGTTTTTCATCAGACAGGCAAGAAGAATCATAGAATCATAGAATCATAGAATGCTTTTGGGTTGGAAGGGACCTTGAGAGATCATCGAGCCCAACCCCCCTGCAGTAATCAGGGACTGAACCTGTGAACTTGGCGTTATTAGCACCATGCTCTAACCAACTGAGCTAACCCGGCTGGTCAAGAAGACTTCTTCTGTCTGAGTTTGGCAGCAGGTACCTCTCCCATTCAGTATATGGAGCGGATGCTCATACAGATTCTGGTGTGGGGCTGAGACAATCACAGCTGTTGTGTCCACCCTGGGGTGACACTAGTTTGGGTCTCTAAAGCAGGAAGGCTGTACCAATACTGTGATGTCCCTGTTCACACAAGCTCAGCATTTCCATATTAATATTAAATAAATTGCCATCAATCAGTTTGTAACAATAGGTGGCAAGGGCATATC